GGCCCACGTGGTGGGCAACGCGTGTGCGGATTGTTTCGCATATTGTGGGGCGTGCGACATTAAAGTGGCCGGCGTTCGGGCAGAGAACCACAAGGGCCTGCTCAAGTATGCGACGTCTACGGCGAGATTCCTGGGCTTCGTTTGCGGCGAGATTCCTCCTCTGCCTCCAGAGCCTCCCGATGCTGCCCCTGTCAGCGCTGACGGACACAGTGCTGATCCGTCTAGCCCACTTGGCCTCACGCGTGCGTCGGCTGCCATCCCGTTGGAAGAAGCCGCCTGCGAGGGAAGGGGAGCGGGCGCGTGCGGGAGCGGGGGGGTGGAGTTGGGATCTGACTAATCCGTGCCTTCGCAGGAGCCGTCTGTTTCCTGCGGTTTCCTGTTCCCAGGAGCCCCCCGACCGGGGGGTTCGGTCCCTGGCTGACGCCGTCCGCCCCCTGTCGTTGGATGGGTCTGGCGCGGTTTGGGCTGCATTTTTCGTGCTCTCGGTTGGCCTTTGTGCTGATCTATCCTGCGATCGACCTATGGGTTGATAAATTCGCGAGGCCTTGGGGTTTCCTGAGGCCTCTTATCTCAATTCGGTCCTTTCCCTTCCGATGGGTTCGGCCGGGGCTCCCGTTCTGGACCCTCCTCCTGAAGTTCGTTGTCTTCCTCCTCCGCTGCCCTCAGCAAGGCTCCAAACCAGAGACTGTTATCACCAGCTTCCCAGAGACACCGAGGGGCCCCGAGACACGCCCAGGGGGCCCCAAAGAGATCCTACGACAAGCTTCCAGGGTCGGGGGAACCACAATTTGACGCGGTTTTCTTTTCGTCTCGGGAGCCCACCGCCTCCTCGGCGCGGGCCCCCCCCCCCTGGCGGCGCCCCCCGCGCCGCGCCGCCTCCAACCGCGCCCGCCGGCCGCCCCAAAAACACACCCTCGAGCGCATGGCCCGGGGTGTGCCGGTCCGTTTTTCCCCCCGACTGTTGGGGGGGGGGAGTGAGGGAGGATGGGGGGGCGGCGGGGAACATTGAAAAACCACGTAATGATCGTTTTCTTATTCCTTGTTTTGCCGATCGGCGCGGGCCCCCAAACCGCCCCCCTTCCCCCATGGGAGTGGATCTTGGCTGTTTTTGGCGCCTGTTTTAAGCAGGCGCAGTCTCCACCATAGGCAGCACTCTTGCAACCAGTCGCACTAAGCAGAAGTCCGGAGCCAGACCCCCCCTCCCCCCCTTTCGCTCAATGTCGAAACGTTTAATTAAGAAACGCTCACGCATAAAGCTCGTGCCTCCCCCAACCCGAAAGTCTGGTTTTTGTGTTGGGTTGGGGGGGTCCGGTAGCCCTGCGCCAGTGCTGATTAATCACGCCATGGAGACAGTTGAGAAATTTTGGGGCCCTGGGGAATGATCACAGATTTTGATTTCCCCGGCAAGTCGCAAATCGCATTTTCCCGGCATGTCGCGCCCGGGAACGTTGAAAAAACACATTTGGAACCCGGCCCCCCCCCCCAACCCGAAATTCCGTTCTTCGGGTTGGGTTTGGGTGGTCCGGTAGCCCTGCGTTAGTGCCAATCACGCCATGGGGACAGTTAAGAAAACTCGGGGCCCCGAGGGGATGATCAAGGATCTCCCCGGCATGTCGCATGCAGGCATGTACGGTGTTCGGATGTAGGAGCGCGAAGCCTGAGAAACCCTCCTCGCTCTTGGTTCTGTTGGGGCCTTCCCTGGATGGGGTGGGACTTGTATTGGATATCTATGGTCGGAGGTGAGGGGGTGAGATCGAAGTGGAACGGAGAGCCCCCCTACCGGGAAATCGATTTCGGTTTCGTGTTCGTGCGTGCCGTGCGGGCGAGGCGAAGCTGCGTGGGTGGGCGAGAGAGGCGAAGAAAAAGTCTCCCTGAGTGGCTGAGGCGCGGCGGACCAAAGAAGGATTTCTTCCCGCCGGCGGCCGGTGGCGCGCGGTGTCCCGCCGGTGTCCCGCCGGGTGTCCCGGTGTGGCTGAGGCGCCGCCGGACCAAGATGTCTCCCTTAGCCCGGTGCGGCCGTGTGGCAGCGCGCGGTAGTCGCCCCGGTGTCCCGCCGGGTGTAGCGCCGCCGGTGTCCCGCCGGTGTCCCGCCGGTGTCGCGGTAGTCTCCGCGGTGCCACCGCGGTAGTCCCGCCCGGTGGTCCAGGCCTCAAGTCCGCGAATAGTGATGATGATGATGATGATGATGATGGCCATGGTGGTGATGATGAATATGAATGATGAATGATGATGATGAGATGATGATGATGATGAGATGACATGAGATGATGAGATGATGAGATGATATGATGATGATGATGATGATGATGATGATGGTGATGGTGATGCTGATGATGATGATGCTGCTGCTGATGATGATGATGGTGATGCTGATGGTGATGATGCTGATGATGAGGATGATGATCATGATGATGATGATGATGATATGCTGATGATCGTGTCCCGATGATGATGATGATGATGTCGATGATGATGATGATGACGATGATGATGATGATGATGATGATGATGATGATGCTATGGTGTCCCGATGATGAGGATGATGATGATCATGATGATTATGTTGATGATCATGATGATGACGCTGATAATGTCCCGATGATGATGAGTATGGTGATGTTGATGTTGATGATGCTGATTATGATTGTGTCCCGATGATGATTATGATGTGATGATGATGATGATGATGTTGATGATGATTATGGCGTCCCGATGATGATGATTTTTCTGATGGTGATGATGATGATGTTGATGATGATGGCGTCCCGATGGTGATGATGATGATGATGATGTTGATGCTGATGTTGGTAATGATGATGAATGATGGTGCACCGATGATGACGATGATGATGATGCTGATGGTGATGTTGATGATGCTGATGATGATGATGTCGATGATGAGGATGAGATGATGATGATGATGGTGTCCCGATGATGGTGTCCCGATGATGATGATGATGATGGTGATGATGATGATGATGATGTCGATGATGATGATGATGGTGCCCCGATGATGATACTGTTGCTGATGATGATGATGACGATAACTGTGTCCCGATGCTGCTGATGATGATGATGATGTTGATGATGATGATGATTGTGATGGTGGTGATGATGATGATGATGATGATGGTGGTGGTGTCCCGATGACGTTGATGACCGTGATGATGATGATTATGTTGGTGTTGATGATGAGGACGGTGTCCCGATTATGATGATGTTGGTGATGATGATGTTGATGTTGATATTGTTGATGATGATGATGACGTTGATTGTGATAGCGGTTGTGATATCGATAGTGAGATCGATAGTGAGACCGAATGTGATATCGATTGTGTCATCGATTGTGAGATCGATAGTCAGATCAATTGTGAGATAGATCGAGTGAGATCGATTGTGAGATCGATCGAGGGAGATCGATCGAGCGAGATCGATAGTGAGATCGATAGTGAGATCGATAGTGAGACCGATCGAGTGAGACGTTGGTTCCTCCCCCCCCCGAACCTCCTTATCACCCGAAGGGTGGTCGTATAGGTAGTTGTCTACTCGTCGCGCAGGAGTGCTCGTGGCTGCTCTTTGGGGATGAAAAGCAATGACGGCGATACAACAGTTCAACCGGGGCGCGGAGGGACTGAGGAAGGGAGGAGGAGAAGGAGGAGGAGGAAACAGAGAAGAAAAGGAATAGAAGTAAGAGAAGGATGAGACAGAAAAATCTGGGTGATCGTTTTCTTATTCATTGTTTGCCGATCGGCGTGGGCCCTCGCACCCCCCCTCCCCCCTCCTCCTGGAGTAGATCTGTTTTGGGCGCCTGTTTCGAGCAGGCGGATGCTCCCCCAGAGGACGCACTGCTGCAAACAGTCGCACTGAGCAGAGGTCTGGAGCCAGACCCCCCCCCTCCCCCCCTCCCCTTCCGCCCGATGTCGAGACGCCGAAGGTAAGAAAACGCTCGCAGGGAACAGAAGTAAAGGGAAAGAGGAGACTGCATCAAATCCTGGCAGGTACAGTCAACTCGCATTTTGAAAATGGGCAACCTTCCCAAGGGTACCCTTGCATCCTTGCCTCCTCGGTCCATCCTTCGCCGCTTTCGCTGGCCGCGCCCCGCTCGGAAAGCTTCGAAGTGGGCGTTCAAGGCCCCTGCATCCCTGCCGCGCACCCTTACCACACTGGTTGCCTGCCAGGGGTGGTCCTCGGCAGGGGCGGCCCGGTGGCCCTCGGCACAGGCAGCCCTGGGCCCCCGGGCAGGCACGCAGGGCCCGCTGCACGCCGACGTGGCGGTGCGGCGGGCGCCTCTCGGGCGGGGCGGTCGCGGGCCCTGCCGGTGGGGAGGGGTTCGCGCGCGCCTGTGCACGCTTCTGGGGGCGTAGACTTGTGGCGCTCCTCCTCCTCCTCCTCCTCCTCCTCCTCCTCCTCCTCCTCCTCCTCCTCCTCCTGGCTCAAGTCCTTGGCCTCTGGGGGCTCAGGACTGCCGCACTGCCATCCAGGGAAGGCCCTGGGTGCTGGGGCTCGAGAAGGCCCCCCGTGGCCCATTTCGGCACCACGACACCGCAGTTGGCTTTCGCATCTTTGTGCGCGCTGGGGAGGCGCAGGGAGCACAAGCAGCGATGGCCAAGCAGCAGAAGTACATCCTGTGCAATCGCCGTGGGTGTAAGGGCTGGACTTGGAGCACTACTGGGGCTAAGCATTGTGATCAATGTGGTGGCCGCTTCAGGTCGCAGCAGTATGCGCCACCTGGAGGCGCTCGCGGAGGCGCCGCCAACAACCCAGGCGCAGGTGGTCCTGGGCCAGAGTCCCTGTCATCGCCATCGCAGCCCGACAAGCCTGGCCGCTGGCGCGGACGGGACAGATCCCGTGGGCCAAGTCACCCGCCAGGCCTGCGACGCCCAGGATCGATCACCTTCGCCGACGGAGAAGGACATCAGCCACAAGAAGAAGATATCGTGGCCCTGGCGCAGGCGCAGGTTACGTTCTGGAAGAAATGGAAGCCCAACGGAGAAGAGTACAATGCAGCGTTGGGCAAACTCAAGCAAGCCAGGGCCTCCGTCCTGGCTACCAAGTCGTTGGATCAACTGGCACAATCTCTCTCGACCCAGCTGGAGACCCAGCGCCAGAAGTACATCACGCAGACCACGGAGCTCAAGAAGCTCGTCGAGGCCATCCTGGAAGTCAGTGGGCGGCACTCCAAACTCGTCGAGGAGGCCAAGTCCACGCAGCAGGAGATCCAGAGCCTCGAGAGCCAATACAACATGGCCAAGCAGGCCGCCATGCAAGCAGCCACAAAGGACGAAGATCTACTCTCGACCTTGCAAGGAGTTCTCGCAGCCCGTATGCCGCCAGGCAGCAGGGCACCACCCGACCTCTGCTCGAAGGTGGCAGAGCTCGCCTCCTATTTCGACGACCTCACCGCCCAGCACGCGCAGACCCAGTCGCCCTCAGACTTCCCTGCTGTCGGCCAGTGCCCAGAGGACGAGTCTGGAGTGGACGCTGGCTCCGCGGCAAGCCAGCAGACCAACCCCGCCGAGCATGTGCCGACCCCGACCGACACCGAGCTCGATGACGGCAAGATGGACGAGTCGGAGTCCCTGGTGCGCGCGGCGTCCGCCCCCCAGTCCGTGGCCAGCGGCATGGCGGAGATCCAGGGCGAGAACGGCCCAGAGGTCAAGCGGGCGAAGGCGGCGGCCGCCACCGCAGCCGCGGGCGCCTCAGGACCAACTACGTCGCGTTCCTGACGGAAACATCTACACGTTTGCTACGATCAACGGATCGTGCTGGGGAGCAGTGAAGGCCTTCGTTGAGTCCGCCACTGCGAATGATTTAATTTTCATTTGCGCACAGGAGTGCAAGCTAGAGTCAGGTGATAGCATCACGCGTCAGATTCAATGGTGCTTCGCACGCGGCTGGCTCGCCCACATTCCGCCAGCCGCCCGCAGCCCCTCGGGTGAACTCGTCTCGGGGGCGGCGGCTTTAGTTCGGGACGGCTTGGACTTGGGGGTCCAGCCTCTCCCCTTCCCTCCCGCGACGGACAGCTCCAGGATCGCTGGAGTTGTCATCGAAGCGCCAGGGGTCTCAGCCTTCGGTTTGGTGAGCGCTTATGTTCAGGCTTCTGTGGGTCTCAATGAGACCAATCTAAATCTGCTGGCCACAATCGGCCAGACCCAGGATCTCGCGGGCAAGCCTCTCATTGTTGCTGGTGATTTCAATTTGCAGCCAGAGAGGATCCAGAAAGGCACAGATTTTCCTAATCGTGCCACGATGTTGGTTGCGGCGCCCACCGCTGCCACCTACTACACTAAGAAGACGAAGTCGACCATCGATTTCTTTCTCCACAGCCAGGCCTTAGGGCCATGGCTGAACCCCCTCGTTCCTTGGCCTCCTATCCTCTCTCCCCGCACCGTCCTGTTATCATGACCCTGCGAGTGCAGGACAACTTTAAGATCCCGACGCTCCTCAGGCCCCAGAAGCTCCCCACTAGGACGCCTATAGGACCTCAGCTCCCGTCGGTAATTTGGCATCAGACAGCTGCAGTGGTAGATTATGCCATCCAACTTCTCGGAGATGCTCCCCGGCCCCTCTCCGACCAGCAGCGCTCCACCATCCTGGACCACGTGTACTACACCCTCGTCCAGGACCTGGAACACACACTCAGTGTGAAAACGGACACCCCCCTCAAACCCAGCAAAACCTCCAGGGCCCACCCACCCAGATCCACTGGGTCTCGGCGGGTGCCAAGTGCTCCCAGGGACGAAAACGCTGGACGGCCTACTCCAGGCCCCTTCGGTGGCCCCAGAATCGGCTGCAAGGTTTTCGGCGCAGCATCCAGGATGAGGATCTCCAGGAGTTTCGGGGCACCCTGGACAGTCTGGAAGACAGCCCAGATAGCTTGAACACCTCCCCTGCCCTGGCCCAAGGGCTGCAGGAAGTTCGTATAGCTGCTGGACTTTTGCATGAGGATTTCCCGGCGCAGAGGCTCAACACTGCACTGGGCATCCAGATTTTAGATGATCTGCTCGAGCAGGTCGGCAAGGTAAGCAACTCTGAGCTTGCCGCCGAGCACAGCAAGGACGGGCAGGAGTGGAGGGATTGGGTGCAATCTTCTATGAGAGGTGGAGTGGGATGAGCGCACAGGTGGACGAAGAAGCTCGAAGCCTGGAAGCCAGTCTCTGTGCATCGCCAGCGTTTTTCTGGACGCCCGCAGCACATCCTCCAGGTTGAGGCCGACAGACTCGCCGAGATTTGGAACGTCCATCCCGAAGCCCCTCCGCAGTGGGTTCCCCCGACCGACGACAGAGTGGCCCTGGGACCCATCACCCCCGAGCGCCTCCGCAAAGTTTCTCGAAGTTTTCCGCGCAGCACGGCCTCAACGTGGGATGGGGTGCACCCACGTCATTTCGCCGTGCTCGACGACGAGCAAGCCGACCTAGTCTGTAAGTTGATCGAGCTTGTTGAGCAGATCGGGCACATGCCATCGCAGCTGCAGGGTGCTATCTCGACCCCCATGCTCAAACTCAAACAGCAGGAAGACATCAACGCACAACCAGCCTTTCGGTCGATTGGCATGCTCCCTGCTCTTTATCGCGCGTGGGCCCGTTTGCGAAGGTCGGCGGCCCGCGAGTGGGAGTATCGCCACAAAAGACCCTACATAGCACACCAGGCGGGGCACTCCATCGTGGAACTCGTCTACGCTCAGTCGCTTGAATGTGAATTTCGCGCTTGTCGTGAGGAACCCCAGCACTCCGCTCAAGTTCTGTGGGACCTCTCGAACTATTATGAACATGTTGACCGTGAGTGCCTCGCCAAGCGTGCTGTAGCGTCTGGTTTCCCGTGCTGCTTGCTCCGTGTCATCCTCGCTCAGTACGGAGGTTCCAGGTTTGTTGCCATGCAGGATGTTTGCGCCAGTGTCGGCAAGGCGTGGAGGGGTCTCATTGCTGGGTGTGGGTGGGCAACGTACCTGGTGCAAATGTATGTGCTCGCCCCCCTTGACCAGTGGACGGCCGCGCACAGCCACGTCCGTCTCGCGATGTTTATCGACGATTTGTTGCTGCAGCGTCATGGCAGGAGCTACGACGCTGCGATTTGCCAGACGAGTTCGGCGGCGAGGTCCTTAGCCACATGTATCCAGCACGAGCTTAAGTGCCAGATTGCTAACAAGAAGAGCCAGGTTTTAGCCTCCAGCCAGGACCTCCAAAACAAGCTTAGGAAGACCCTCGGGGCGCTCGCGGGGCCCTCCACGGATATCTCTGGACCCAACCTCGGCATCGAAAGCGGAGCTGGACGACCCCAAAGGAGATGGAGGAGAGGAAGGGAGCTTTTGGAGCGCATCAACAAAATCAAGAAACGCATGTCCCGCATAAAAAATGATCAAACATGCTGGAGGCAATGGAAATAAACTATATAAGACTGGCCTGGCTGCGGCCACCACATTCGGAGTGGAGGTCACGGGCATCAACAACACGATGCTCGCGCAGGCACAGTCTCAGTATCTAACCGCGGCAAGTCCTAGGTGTGCCTCAAGGAGTCGTACTCTCGCCCTCCTCATCCTCCAGGACCCCCTGTGGAAAGCGGGCCTCGGGCCCGCGCTCATGTGGCACCGTCTCGTCTGGGGGGCGCATGCCCTTCCAGACGAGGCTGTGGTCAGTCTCCAGCAACTCAGCTACTGGGGTGAGGCTATTTTGCCGAGGGTTTCCAAAGCGTGGGGCTCCTGTAGGGGCCCTCTCAGTGCTGCGGCCCTTTCGTTGGCCAGAGTGGGTTGGTCGTTCCAGGGGCCCTTTAGGTCTGTGACCCCTGCAGGACTTGAGTGCCCCCTCCCAGGAACCTCCCCAGCCTACATTGCCAAGCAGCTCGAGATTGCCTGGCACGACCGCCTCGCAGAGCGGGCTGCTGCCAAGATGGGATTTCAAGGAGAGCGGCTGGATGCCGCAGCACTATGCACTGTCCTCAGGTCAGACGACATGACCAAGCAGCAGCGCGGCACGTTGCTGGCCTTTGCCACACAGAGCATTTGGACTATGGAGCGTGCCCTAGCAGCGGGATACGATGTGCCCCAAGGTTGCCCATGTGGACACCACAAAGATGACCTCCAGCATCGCCTCCTGGAGTGCTCCAAGACCGCCAACGCCAGAGAAGTGTTCGATAGTGGGGAGCTTCGTAGGTTGAAAGACCCGATCTCTGGCACCTCCCCCCTCCACCTCGGCTTCCAGTTTAAGCCCGATTTCGTGGGCTCCCCCCCTCCTGGTACTGGCCTGGAATCCGCCCAGTTCTGGTGTCGAGACCCTCATTTAAGGCCTGAGGAAGCGTTCAAAGGGGATGTGTTTATTGACGGCAGCTGTACGAATCACGGCCACTATGATTTCAATGCGGCAGCGTTTGCTGTAGTGTGCATGGTTGATGGTGAAGAGTTTGCCACCTTCAGTGGCCGCGTTGGGGCCCTGGGATCCCAAACCTCGGGGGCAGCTGAGCACCTCGCAGCCGTGGCTGCGGGTAGACTCTCGAGCCAGGTTGCCAGCGTTTATACTGATTATAAAGGAGTGTTGCAGCTGCATGGGGGGGGGGGGCAGATTATCCTCGCCGTAACCTGTGGTCTGGTTGTAAAGTCCTCGCGGGAGGGGGTTTCTTTGACCTCGGCCCCAAGCTCCAGAAAGTCAAGGCCCATCGAAATCTGGAGCTGCTGCCACCCGACAGCGAAGAATATCGCATAGCCAGAGGCAACGATGCCGCCGATAGGATTGCCAAGGCCGCCGCGAACCTTGGCAGCCAACCCAGCACTAACGAGACAGAGCAGTATCAGAGTGACACTGCTCTGCTCAAGAAATATCTCCGATCTATTTCCAATGCCCTTGGAGAGTGGCCAGCGATTGCCCCACGTAGGAACAAGGCACTGGCCAAGCCTGTCAAGAGCCTCTCCCCACCCTCGGGGGCTGCCTCAGCCCAGGCCTCCTGGGGCCAAGGTGCGCGGGACCCTGCGGCCCCTGGCGCCCATCCTCCTTCGAGCCCCCCCCCCCTCGCCTCCGAGGCCCCTGGACCCCGCAGGGCCCACCAGTGGCACCAGATAGGTTCCAGCTGGCAATGTTCTGCGTGCAGACAGAGGTGTGGAAGCACCCTAGTAAGACAACGTCGTGAGAAGGAGGTTTGTCCTGGGCACTGTGCACTGCACAGTGATTTGCTCATCAACCCGAAAGGACACCTCCCATATTTCTTCGGTTTTGTGGACGAATCTATTCCCTCGAGTATCATCATGCGCTGGAAGTGTGGATGCTTCGCCGAGAGCACTCGAGGACCAGGGTTTCAAGCTGCATGCCCAGAGTCCCCGCCTAACCACGGTCGCAAGCTGCAGCGACAGCGAGCCATGGAGGGGCGACACCCCAAAGGTGCGGCCTTTTCCCCGATAGTTTTGAAAGCTCCCATCCCCTTGGCTCAGCTAGCCCAGGAACTAGCTGAGGCTGACGCTGCCAGCTTCAATGCAAGCCAGCAGAGCAGTGTCGGGAGCTAGCCAGGGCGATTCCGCCTTGTTCACGAAAGCCCCAACCCAGGGGATGCGGATTTCACGCCCAAGACGGCGAACCCACCCACAGTCAGAGCGCTGGTCCTCCTCCTCCTCCTCCCTCTCCTCCTCCTCCTCCTCCTCCTCCCTCCTCCCCAGTCTTTCGAAGAAGAAGAAGAAGAAACGCCCTAAGCGGGGCGGTCGCGGGCGCTGCTGGTGGGGAGGGGCTCGCACTATAGAGCGATTCTCGCCCACCGGCACCGGCGCCGGCACCGGCACCGGCACCAGCACCGGCACCGGCACCAGCACCGGCACCAGCGCCGGCACCGGCACCGGCACCGGCACCGGCACCGGCACCAGCACCGGCACCGGCACCGGCACCGGCATCGGCACCCGCACCGGCACCGGCACCGGCACCGGCACCGGCACCGGCCATGGCAGCCGCACCCGCACCCGCACCAGCACCGGCATTGGCACCGGCACTTGCACTGGCGCCGGCACCGGCGCCGGCGCCTGCACTGGCACCGGCACCCGCACCCGCACCAGCATGGCGCTGCGCCAGCACCGGCACCAGCACCGGCACCGGCGCCGGCGCCGGAGCCAGCACCAGCACCTCATGTGTGACGTCCCGTACGGGAGAGGAGTGAGGGACGAGGGGGAGGAGGGACACGAGGAGGAGGAGGAGGAGGAGGAGGAGGAGGAGGAGGAGGAGGAGGGGGACGAAGAGGAGCAGTAGCGATGCGGTGCGAGGAGGAGGGGGAAGAAGAAAAGGACGAGGGGGAGGAGGAGAGAGTGGGGAGGACGAGGAGCCGTGGAGTGTGATGACGACGCAGCGTGCGGAGTCCAGGAGGAGTGA